GTCAGTGTGTGTCATAGTGACCAGTCATTCCCAGTCTTTCTGCTGTTAGGGTGAGTTTGCATATTACCCTTTTATTATATAGGATAGAGGCCTGGTGCAGGGATGGGGGCCGGCTGGTTTGCCCTTCAGGGTTGGGGTCCCCACTGGGGTGCCACTTGGTGCCTGGCCAGCCTGGGTGAGGAGCTGATGGCTGTTTGCAGCTGGTCATACCCCCACCTGTCCCCACTGGAGTGCCTGGCCAGCCTGGGTGAGGAGCTGATGGCTGTTTGCAGCTGGTCACACCCCTTCAGTGTGGGAATCCCCACTGGGGTGCCTGGCCAGTCTGGGTGAGGGGCTGAGGGCTGTTTTCAGGCTGGCCAAGCCTCCCCGGCGACGGAAGCTCCCAGCCTCTCCTTTTTTTCTTTTTTTTTCTGGGATTTATTTACCTTCTATAATTGAAACTTTGTAGCCTGGAGTGGAGCTCAGAGCCGTCCTGGGCTTGGCTTCCTCCATCACCAGGGGCAACCCAAGGCTCCAGCTCCATGGCCACGGCTGGCTGAAAGCAGGTATCTGGGGTTTGTTTACCTTCTATAATTGAAACTTTGTTGCTTTGAGTGGAGCTTAGAGCCGCTGCGGCAAGCGCGAAGCTTGGCTTCCTCCATCATTGAGGCAACCAAGCCTCCTGCTTGCTCCAGCTCCACGGCTGCCGGCCGCCATCTTGGTTGGGTTAATTTGCATATAGTCACTCTGATTGGTTGGTGGGCGTGGCCTAAGGCATAGAGAAGGTATGGTCAATTTGCATGTTTATATTTTATTAGTGTAGATTAAACTTGGAAAAGAGTTAGCCATTAACTTATACATAATAACCTCTCTGATACTTAAAAGTAGTGATGACTAAGTTGCCTTAACTTTCTTACCTTCATGCTTAACTGTCTAATATTAATAAGTGGAGCCTTGGCCACTGTGGTGCAAGCTCAATTCCAGGTCAAGGGCCCGTACGTGGATTATAGGTTCCATCCCCAGCCTGGTCAGGGTGAATTTGGGAGACAACCAATCAATGTGTCTCTCTCACATCAATATTTCTCTGTCTCTCTCTCTCTGTCCCTCTCTCTCTCTCTCTAAAAATCAATGGAAAATATATCTTTCAGTGAGGATTAACAAACAAACAAACAAACAAAAACATGTGGAAATAATTTGTTAAGAGGGAAATTGAAAGGAAGAATATAAATTAGGAATAAAAAAGATTATCAAATGAATGTGGAATTTTAGAAGTCCAAGTTGAAAAAGGACTAGAAATTAAAATATTATTAAAATTGTGCATTTTTGTTGTTTTCTTTCTTTTACCTTATTTACCCATTCCAAAAGAAGTATATGCCTTTTTTTTAATTTGGAAAATATGGTGTAATACAAAGAAAAGGGAAAAAATTCACTTTTCACAAAGGCATCTCTAAAGAACATCTCTAGAGAACCTTCTAGCCTTTTCTCTCTATTTCTTTTTGTACACGGTTGTACTTCCACCATATATACTCTTATCTAGTATTGTAGTATAAGCATTTTTTAAACACTAATAAAAATTTATGAGTGCATTAGTTGTCTATTGCTATATAACAAATCATGAACAACTTAAGAGCTTCCACCACAATACACATTTATTATCTCATGCAGTTTCTGCAGGCCAGGAATCTGAGACAGGTTTAGCTGGTGTTTCTAATTCAGAGTGTCAGATGAGTTTCTAGTCCAGATGTTGGCTGGGCCTGCAGGCTTCAGTGCGGCTGGAGTATCCACTTCTAAGATGAGTCACTTGTGGCTGTAGGCAAGAAGCCTCAGCTCATCACCACATGGGCCTCTCCATAGGGCCCCTTAAGTGTCTTCATGACTCGGCACTTGGCTTCTACCAGAGTGGGTGAGAGAGAGAGCAAGGTAAAACCCACAATGTCTCTTATCACAAACGCTCATTTCCATTTCCTGTTGCTTACACATCCCAGCCATATTCATTGTAGTGGGGACTCACAAGTGTGTGACAACAAAGACTTACAAAAGTGTGAACACCAGGGGGACTTCTGCAAGACTAGTTACCACAATAAAAATTTTTAATGGCTGCATGAATCCTATAATAGAGATCTCTATTAATTGTATTAACTGTTTATGTAAGGTTAGATATTACTTCCAATATTTCATTTTTATAAACAACTCTATCAAGCACTCTTGCAAATAAAAATGCCATGAGTACTTCAGATTATTTTCTTTGGATATGGTCTCAGAAGTGGGATCATTGAGTTATATAAAAAAAACTTTTACTTAATTTCCATTTTAAATTGGCTTCATAAGCAAATTAATATTTATATTGCTTATTTCCTTCAATGTATTTGGGATAAATTCTTTAAAATACCTATGCAGTGATTCACAACTACATGTTTATTTTCATTTAATGCATTCTATATGGTGTATATTTTAGGCAGATATTTTATGTCATATATAGATAATATTTTGATACTTACAGCATGTGGGTTTTTTCATTGTTATTTAACCATTTTATAGATCCTCCTGAGTTTGTTTGTTGCTGTTATTTTGGACAACTTAGAACTTGATGAAGATCTAAAGAAGCTTAAACAAGTAAGTAATATATGGGGGAATCTTAAAACATGTGCTTACAGGTAATATTAAAGCAGTTCAAACTTCAAAGTAAAAATATAGATTTTGAATAAATTACAGCAGTCTAAGTTGGCAAAATATTTTTGTTTAATTTTATTTGTTATCAGCAAAGGAAATTTTCTATTGCTCTATAATTATCCTAGGAACATTTTTACATTATTATTATGAGTAAGGGTAAGATTGATATAGTGTAGTAAATTGGACTTGGAGACTATTCTCCTTCTGCCATTAAATGAAGGTTGTCTGAAAATGAAATGCGTCAAAGCCAAGTTGCCTTTTTGCATAATTATATGCGATACTCTCGATCATCATAAAAATATTAAACATCAACTTGCCTTGCCTATAGATACTAAAAGAGGATTTAGTCTAGGTACCCATGGTGATTATAAAAAAATGGAATGAATAAATGATCAACTGTGCCCAGTTAAGTATGAAAACAGATTGGATGTTATGGCAATGAAAATTGTATCCCAAAAAAATGAAAATGAAAATGTATGAAGGTTATGTTATTGACGGCAGAAAGATTATAGGTATGATCAACCATTCTCATAGTTTCTGTTACATGGAGGATACTTTGCTTGAATATCTGGCTCTATGAAAGACCCTTTCAGAAGGGGAGTGGGTGGGAGAGAAGGACACTGGAACAGATATTCTTGCATTATCCTCCCCAACACTGCAAGAATTATAGAGATGCTACCAAAGAGTACCAAGTCTCTAAAACAAATCCTATTTAGATCTAGGAGGCACTCCACCTTCAGAATTTTCAAATTGCATCTGAGTTGTCTATTTTTAACAAAGCAGAGACATAATATATTTAAATTGTGTTGTTGCCATTTTCATATCTGAAAGTTACATTAAGGCATTTCATCTTACCACTCTTGTTTACATCTCCAAAGCCTATGTTTTAACTAAGGGTTGTCAATAAAGAAAAAAATGGATGTAAAGATGCCCATTTAAATAAACTATATGGCGCTTTGCTTTGAGTATATATCATTTGTTTTATCAAAGTATCACTGATATCTAGTAAGTTTTATTTAATCATTCACTAGGTATTCGTGATACTTTGTTTTTCTGGAAATTATATACTTCAAAGTTGATTATCCAATTGTGCTAGTCTACAATTTGGAGTATATTCTTTGAATATTTAGAGATATTTGAGCATTAGAAATCCAAATCATAAGTAAAATACCAAAATCCAATTGTATTAGTACTTTTCACACTGTTTTTAGCCGTAATTGAACTGAAATTACATTTCTATTAAATTCATCTATTAATTTTATACTTGACTAGTAGCCCGGTGCATGAAATTCATGCACATTGAAAGGGAATTAATTAGAGAAACGTAATTTGGACTCACTATCTAATATCAATAATATGTGAGTGTGAGGCAGTCCACGTTTCTGAAATTCAATGACATGAATTTTAGCTATTACCTTGCCAAATAAATGGAATTTACAGATATAATTTTAAAAAGCATTCAGATTAATATTAAAAACTCTGGCTACCAAGTCAGGTCTGTTTTCAACTTTTTGCCAGCATTGTAAATTGTTTGCAATATCTGCCCATTTGGGGTTGCATGTCATGGTTATAACGGGCTTGCCATGCCTCGTTATAATTGCCATAGCATCCTGCTGCATATTTGGACTACCCTCAAAAGATGATGGAAGTATTATCATTTTACCAATCTGCACATTGTCCTTTTCAGATCTAGATTTGAGATAATACATCAAACCACTATATTTTTCAACTCTCAACTTAGATTGGTTTGCTTTGATGAAATTATCCGATTGGCCTTCATTTTTTTAATATGAATCCACGACAAACTGTTGAGTTAATTTTCCTTCATTTAAAATAGAATTGAACGTGTCCCGCACAGAGAGATGAAATCCATAATACTGCATTTGTGTGACTCGTGTCCTTACGTTTTGTCTAGTATTATTGTAGATTACACTGTTGTCTCTGAGTCTTAATGCATAATCTGTTCCCCAGCCTTTTTCACCATGTGGGAAAAGAATAGGATATGTCATCGCATCTAATGTAGGAAACAGGATATTGATTTGTTTCATTTTAGTGGCATTT